CTTTCGTTTAGATAGAAACAGTCTGAGCAGCAACGGCCTCTGAGTCTCCCAACTTCGACTTCTCCCCATGCAGAGTATGCAGAGTGGCCAGTGTTGCCGGTGCAACGGCAATGGCACTTGCATCGGGTGCTCCTGCACCAAGGAGGGTCGCACATGTACGAATTGTGTCCCTTCGAGAAAAAGGGAGATGCGAAAACAACGCGAGCCCCGTATCGTCAGCGTTCCAACCGTCCCCAGGCATCTCGACTGTTGAACTTGTCCGTGCCGCAGCCTCCGTCGGCATCTCAGCCGTTGTCAGCACCTCCACCGTTGACCACGGTCGTACAACAACATCAGTCGCCATCTCAATCGTCGTCGGCGTCTCGATCATCGAGTGCATTCGGCACTGCCATCGTTTCCTTAGTAGCTTGTATCGATGAAAACACTGTAGTGCCCGTGCAGGTGACGCTAGAGCAAGTCGACGCAAACTCGTCTGACATCAGTGACAGCCAACCTGCACACTTTCTGGCTTCATTGGATGACACCCGTACCCAGGAGTCTGAGGAGCCCGTGGGGTTTCGGATACAGATAGACGAATCCACCAATTATCACCAGCATATCAGTGATCCGACGATGGATGGCCACGTGGTGTCCCATCTGGAAGAGAGTAGTATGCAGACGTAGATGTATTACGTGGAGAGGACATCCGAAGCAACCTCCCGGATCCTGAGCAGGTGCATGAATTCTCGCCGTCCTTTCAGATTGGGCAGCTCTCCGCGGAGGAGACGGACCAGCTGATAGATATTGCGTACATTAAATGTGTACAAACGCGTTTCAGGTTCAGTTGGGGAATGTATGACGACGGTACATAACAGCTCTATCAGCGCTCTACTCATGCTTTGGTGACGGTGGAAGCTACTGGTGGAGAGCTTTCAAGATAGCGACAGTGTTTCAGGCACTTATGTTACAGAAGCCAGGTGCAGAGTTCTCGACATATGGCACACATCTTGAGCAATGACTACAACAATGGTCAACCGGAGATGTGATGGGATTATTGATGGAGGCATACACCATCCAGACCTGCAAATAGAAGTCGTCCAGGGCTGAGCGGAAGGGCGCTGCGGGTCCTGCCAGGCATTTTGACGACAGCTTTAAAGTTTAGTACGGCACTCCACACCCTGGCAAATGACGACGGTTTGTTTGTTTGTTTGTTTCTTTTATTTGAATTCGTTTAGAGCACAGGCAATTCTGCCTTCTCACCAGAGGAAAAACCTCCGGTTCCTGCTAAGAACGAATATAATAAATATTATGAGAGAAGGAAATATTAAAAAGAATCATAACATGATAATTCCAAAGCACAAAGTTTGTATATAATTCAAATGGGTTTGTATGTGTAAGCATGCAGTGAAGAAAACACCGAGAAAACATGCAGTAATGTTTAGGGATGCCGAGCAAGGTGGTTACAAATTACAATTAATTCTGTTCAGAGCCAGTTTAAAGGCAACCGCCGCACTGTGGAGGTGAATATCGCTGGGAAGGGCATTCCAAAGAGTGCTTCCCACAAATGTCAATGACTGACGACCGGAAGGTCCAGGAAGGAAAGGCACTTGCAGTAGCCGCTGCTCCTGTCCTCGAGTAATTCGGCGATCATCCCGGGATGCTTGGCCTGTGTTAGCCATCAACTGAAAGTAGGTGCAGAAAGGAGGACTTGCAAGATCATGTAGGCAACGGAAAACAAAAAACAAAACCTTGTACTGAAGTAGTTAAAAATGTGAGTTAGGGATCGAATAGATAAGCGCACGAGGAGGGGGCTGTGGATGCACGGCTGGAGAGTCGGAAAATTGCACGAATTCCGGATTTGCTGGATTTGATTAAACGACTCTGCAGCTGCTGTGTCAGCGACGGGAAGAATGCATTTGATGCGTACGTTAGTCGTGCTTGCACAATGCCAATGTACCAAAGTCTGCGGGCTCTTATGGGCAGAGATCGCCCATGGCGCCATAGCTGGCTGATGGCGACTGACGCCTTCTGCACAACACTGGAGACATGTGGCTGCCAAGATAGCTGGTCATCAATGGTTACGCCAAGGTATTTGGCAGTGGAGGTAACAGTTAAGGCTTGATCCTTACATTTCACGACTGGTATGTCGCCAGTGAGTCCCCGAGGTTGAATTACCATGACTTGGGTTTTGCCGGTATTCATCAGAAGCCCAATTTCGGAGAGCCAGTCAGACAGACGTGTCACAGCGTAGTCAACGTCTTACAAACAGTGTCCAGATCTGAATCAGAATAATCTAGGATGATGTCGTCCGCGAACTCCTGATGAACAACAATGCAAGGTATGACATCGGAAATGTCACTCGTGTAAAGGACAAAGAGAAGCGGCCCAAGAACACTGCCTTGGGGCACACCGCGGTGGTGGTGTTCTTTCTATTACGGATATAGTTGATGCCAAGACCGTCAGGGACATACTGAAAGAGAAGCATCCATCACCAGAGCCAGCTGATGATACCGTCCTTATACCAGGTGAGCCTCCATCATAACCCCATCCGGTGTACTTCAGTGGCCTTGGATAGGAGGTGATTAGAAAGGCAGCGCTTCACACTCAGGATGCGACCGGTCCCAGTGGTGTCGATGCAGAAATTTGTAGGCACATGTGCTCCAATTTTGAAGACGCCTCAGCCACTTTGTGCGACGCTCTGGCCTCTTGTGCCAGGCGGATGGCAACTGCATACATCGATCCCGATTCACTTACCGCCTTTACAGCGTGCCGCCTGATAGCGCTGGATAAGTGCCCAGGTGGTGTTCGGCCAATAGGTATTGTAGAGGTTGTAAGACGAATGATCAGTAAGGCAATCCTCTTCATTGCCGGTCAAAACTCATGCTTTGCAGGAGGCAGTCGGATGTGACCAGTTATGTGCTGGCTTAGACTGTGGCATAGAGGCGGGAGTGCATGCGATGCAATCTGCTTTTGCCGAGGATGATACTGACGGCATTATTATGGCCGATGCGTCCAACGCTTTCAATCGGTTAAATCGACAAGTCTGCCTTCGCAACGTCCGGCACATAAATGTCCACCCCTCGCTACAATATCGATCAATTCGTACAGGGAACCCGCGCACCTATACATCGATGGTGAGTGCGTTATTTCCGAAGAAGGCACGACGCAGGGTGATCCACTCGCCATGCATATGTATGCGTTGGGCATGCTACCCCTGATCCGTGCAGCAGCTGGCGAGGAGACCGTGCTGTCCTGGTTTGCAGATTATTCCTCTGCAGCGGGCTGTTTGACCGGGTACGCCAGTGGTGTGATGTCCTGACGGTGCAGGAACCGGCAAAAGGCTATGTTGTGAACCCAGCTAAGTCTGTTCTTGTCGTGAAGGAACATTGCCTTGTTGAGGCAAGTGGTCTCTTCGAAGATACCGGAGTAGCCATCACGACTGAGGGAGTACGCTACCTCGGTGCTGCAGTGGACACAGAGGCCTACAAGGAGGCGTACATTGTATATCCAACGAAAGGTAGAGACCTGGGTGCATGAGGTCAATCTACAAGAAAATTTATCCGAAAAATATTTTCGGCAAAGTGCGCTTTTTCCGAACAAACATGCCGAATTTTCGTGTGCATATTTGACCTAGCTCCCGCGTGCCAAATCGTTTTGCAGAATTTCGGAATACAAAACCTCACACAGTACCACTGCTGTCTTTCGAACTTTTCGATTTGCCCCATGATGCAGTCATTTCCGCTTTGCACTGCCGCCATTTTCGCTTGTACAGATACTGTTCTTGTTTCGTTTCCCCACAATTTGTTTCTCTCTGTATGTTTTCGTCATAAGGCGTTGGCATAATCAGTTTGGCACATGCGAACCTGGGCAACCTCCATTCAATGGGGGCCCCCAGCAACGCGTACGTGCATATAATAATAATAATAATAATAATAATAATAATAATAATAATAATACTAACTGGTTTGAGGGAAAGAGACAAACGGGAAAAGTCTGAAGAAAAAATAATAAAAATAATAATAATAATAATAATAATAATAACTTCCGCCATTCACAACTTTGAGATTTGCGCCGTGATGCAGCCATTTGTACTTTGCTTTGTGGGTATATAAACCAATAGGCAATACTAATCCAGATTTGCTCATTGCTGTTGTCTGATGATCGCTTAGTGCGTGAAACTCAGAGTTAAAAAACTTTTTCCGTCCTCTTGTTGTTTGAACTAGCTCTGCCTCTCGGTATTGAGCACTCTCTTGGACAGCCTGGCACCTCTCTGTTTTACAGTACCCCGAGTTATGTACATTTATAACTCCCTTAGTATTGACTCCCATATATTTTTGCTATACCTAAACATTCAGAATGCATATTTCACTCCTTAGGGCTACATCGACTGGGCTATATTTACTGCTTATATTTGTCTCCTTTTTAGAGATTGATCACAGGCTTTGGCTAGTCGTGATAAATCTAATATTGACTTCGTACTTGGTCAGTATAGGAAATAAAAACAGTGAAGTTTCATGCACGTGTAAGTGGCTGCGTTGGAGTTTGGCCATCCACGAAGCAGTGCTCGTTATTAAATTTGCTTCTCTGCTGTATAGTGCTCATTTTTTGTTTTGCTAAAAGCCATGTGGTGCACGCAATGGGAACATGCTGCAGCCATGTTGGTGGGGGCCCAGGTTCTGGGTTAATTAAAGTGCTCCTTGTGACTGGCTTTCGCGAAACGCCAGTTAGTGCTCGTTTCACTTACACGTACATGTACATGTAGTCCCCAGGTTGATATGAAGTTTTTATTTCATTTCCGTTTGAAAATATTTATTTTACACATGCATTTTCCTGATTTCTTGTCCAGTGTTGTGTTGCATTTTGATATCCATTCTGTTCATTTTTGCCTGTAAAAGAGGCTGGTAGTACAGTCACGTACATGTACGTGTACTTAGTACACGGTTGTAGAGGTCACTCTCACTGAGCGCCCAGGCCTAGTCGTTACACCACCGTGTTGGGGCAGGCAACAGCCGATTTCATAATGATGTTCTGCTCTCACTGTGTGATCCTGATCATCCAAGTATTCTTTCGTAGCCGGGAAGATAATAATTATAGGGTCACACAAGGAGAGAAATACCAGGCTTAATTTGCCTGAACTTTGCCAATATTCTGCGAAACAGCAGCTTCTGCAAAATTTGCGTAAGGCATTTGGGGATGAGGGTTTGAACATAAAATGTGTGGAATCAACACGTGAAAATGTTAGCATCGTTCCTGTAAATGAAAATGCATTAGATAATAAAGAACTGAAAAAAGACGGGGAATGTTCGTTTCTGGTACAATAGGCTAAATACGCATGCGATAATTATAACAGCTCTCAAAACCAGCCCGAAGGCATGATAATGAACGCGCCCGAGGAAGTAGAAAGGAATTAAGGCGATATTTTTTTAGATAAATATACACTTATCCTATGAAATTGACCGTGTGGATTTGGCTATTGGATAGTCAGTAAAGCAATCTGTGTCTTGCTGTGCGCGATGCATTGGATTATGGCAGTGGCACGGCTTCGGTTCCTGCCGCTTGTGTGCCTGGCACAGGCTCGACTCCTGCCGCCTGTGTGCCCTGTGCAGGCTCGACTCCTGCCGCTTGTGTACCTTGCACAGGCTCGACTCCTGCCGCTTGGGTTCCTTGCACAGGCTCGACACCTGCGGCTTGTGTACCTTGCACAGGCTCGACTCCTGCCGCTTGTGTACCTTGCACAGCCTCAGTTCCAGGCGACTGTGTACCTTGCACAGGCTCGACTCCTGCCGCTTGTGTACCTTGCACTGGCTCAGTTCCGGGCTCTTGTGTACCGAACATATTTTGTTCCTTACCAGCGGTATCTGAGGGAAGAAACAAACAATGCGGCAGGATTTAAGTTGAGAAATCCTTATGGGAGTTGAAAACCGCTCTGTTGAACGTTGTTTCTACTGATAATGGACTCCAGTTTCCTGAAAAGTGCTAAAAGTCAAGGAATCGAGATCAGATTGAACAGACATGTACATGCATATACAAGAGTGGTGGCCGGGTGATGCTATGCCTAAACGGTGGGGGAGGATAGATCAGAGACTGAAGGCCGATAACTCATTTGCCACATGTTTTCCTGGTGCCATGTCACAAGTTCCCAATTCACTGTGCGACGCAGCAGGCGTGGACAAATTCTTCCGCTTCCGAACATCTCGTTTCTCAATCATGGTCATGGTCCCACTATGCCTACTTGGGTAGGTCAACAGTAATTATAATCACAGAGCATTGTTATGCGGATCCCAAATCACTGAACAAACAGAATGAATGGGGTTATTGTATTTAATGGGTTCCAATTTTATCCCATAACAGAGGGTGTTTTGAAGGCGTAACGTTAATGCCACACATGTTCGTATGCCCGGCAGTTACTCACTTTCAACGGGAAGGCAGGTGGGGCAGGAGCAGACGCCATGGCCGGTGGATTTCTCGAAGCCAGGTCTGCACGGGGAGCACTTGAAGCCTTCCTTCAGGCACTGGACCTTTCCATTCTCACAGTGGCAGAGTTTGCAGGCATCCACCTCCTCTCTGAACCAGTGGGCGCGTGGGAGACTAGAGCACGTTTCCGCGGCTGTGGAAGAAACGAAAACAGTCAATGGCACAAGAGAGTAATACTCATCAGATTCGAATCATATAAGGTCTGCTCTGGAACAATATCTGAATATGGAAAGTCATTTTCTTGCGGCTAGTACTTACATGTATATCGGGCTCACGAAGAATGACCTATTCCAGGGAATAGAGCTTTTCATGCCGGACATGAACAAACTCGGATTTAAACAGAACCTCCTCTGTCTTCAGCGTGAGAGTGAAGTATTCTAGTGAGAAGAAGTCCATGTTGTTGTTAGTTCCAGTTGAAAATCTCCCAAAACGGTTCACGTACTACATTTCAGACTTCAATATCTGCAGCACAAACTGGCTTTACCCTCTATATTGTCTATGGTTTTCTAAGAAATTTCATGATGTGTGCATTGCTTTGATTGCATTATTTATGGTATATTTTTGCCTATCCTTTCTCATCACTGCCCTGATGCTGTGGTGCCCAAAGTGCGAAATACTGACAGTCTTTCATTTATTACGTTGCATATGTGGATAATTCTCATCCGATGCTATTTCTTACCTTTAGGGCATGTGTCGCAGCTGCATGTATCCTTGGCACGCACCATCTTGCTGGCGTTGCAGGGCAGTGTGCCACCGACTGACTTGGTGCAGAGCAGGATTGCGGGCTGGCACACGGTTGTGCCGAAGACGCATCGACAATCCTGGCAGCCTTTTGTCTTATCCGACCACGTATCACCGTTGACGTATTGCGTGCCAGCATATTCACACACTAATTCACATGGAACGAAAGGAAAAGCGAAGAAAGCAAACCGAAATAATACTCAAACACTTTGATATAATCAGAAGTTCTTATAATCATCACTTTTTACCTGTACAGCAGGTATTCTCACACATGTACATTATGACTTTTATAACTACATGAGCACTGCTACGAACCCTTATGCATATTAACGATTCTGGATATCAAAGAACATCAAGCTGTTTTGAAGAATCCATATACATGTACTTCGCAGAGATTTATTCTAGCCTACGTAGCACAAACTCACAAAATCTCTCATACGCACACACACACTCATGTAATCATATAGATATCCTGGTATGCACATTACTGGAGCGTATGCCGTATCACCATGGTCACATGGCACACCAGTACATGACTTACCGGCAGCGCCTTGCTCCTTCTTGCCAACCATATCTGTAGCCCCATTTGTAGGCGTACCTGTAGCCGCATTTGCAGGCGCACCTGTGGGCTCCGCCGTCGCAGCGGCTGGTACCGTCTTGGCAGCTGCCTTCTTCGCAGGAATGGCATATGCGCAATTCAGCACACACACGACCAGGGCCAATGTGGTGAAGAGTGTCATCCTCGCTTGTGCCATCGCTTTGCCGAAATTCTGCAGAAAAAAAGAAAACGGCAGGTATCGCCAAGCCGATGCACCAGCAATCAGATAGTAAGTATAACCCTGAGGATCAATACAATCATGTACTCAACTCTTCATGCATTTGCACTGTGATTTCGTCCAGTAGTGTGGGAATCATTGAGCCATACTGAGCCGAAGGTGTCGTATCGGCTATCGTGCTGCTGCGGCAATGCTGCTACATGTATCGCTCCTGCAAGTGTTGATTGTAGGTTGATATTTCTCTCTCTCTCTCTCTCTCTCTCTCTTGCACCCTCCCCCCCCCCCCCACCCGCCCATCACGCACTGGATATGAGCATTCTACGGGCCAACACTTGTTTATCAACACAAGAATGAAAGGCCGTCACCTGGCCAGCTCTTGCGAATGACCCGTAGCAAGCTTGCATGTCCCGTGATAGAATCTAAACCAGACAAAAGACCCGTTTGTCGCTTGGAAACATGCGCCTGAGACGCAGACCAGTTGTGCTTGTGACGGCACCAATTAATTGGCTGTCATCACGCCACACCGATTTAATAAACGCAATGTGGCGCTCTGGCTAGAGAGCATTTAGTTACTTGAATGTATGCCACTGTTCGAAAGTTAAACGATGGTCATCCAGACCACCACACACCATTCTCCGTGACCCCGAAAGGGGGTCATCTAGCCCATCCCACACAATCCTACTTGACTCTCAAAGGTGGATGTATTGTTGGTCTGAGAAGGCTGCAAGAAGATCTCTAACACGACGTCACTCCACACTGGAGCACAATGTGGTCTGCGCGTACGTACTTGGAAAACTACAGTTCTTACCAGAGAAATTCGACCTCATGACTATTCATGTAGTAACTCCGCGTTTGAGTGCACAGAACAGTGTATGAAGTGCTATCACCAAGTACGGCGCGGCGCTAGTTATGCACCAGGTTGATTCTCAAAGGCCAGCACTGAAGGCTGCGCTAGTCGTAGCAAATGTTGCACCGCAATTAACCGGTTAAAAGTACACACTTTCATGAATTATAAGATGACGTTCAGTCTCTACCCGCGTCCCTATGCTTAGTGCAGCAATCGTCAGGCAACTAAGCTTGAAGCACACTCGCACACGGTAACCGTACGGAGCGGTGAAGCTCCACGAGGCAAACACCATTCCGCTTAGCATCAAGAACGCAATTAGAACCACACGCGGACAACTGTTACTTCGTGGTGATCTTTGAGTCATTTGCAACAGGATTTGTCTAGCTCCGAAAGGCGACTGACTACTCTGTCTTCAATCGAAGGCATAGTCATTATTACAGAATGATATTCTGTGTTATACATCTGCAATCAGAAACAACTGCACTTACGAAATGTTCCCTGAAGAAACTTAGTTGTCTGCAGCTCCACGGAAACGATAAGGCGATCAGCACACACTAATATTCTATCCTTTGGGTGTTGAACTTGAGTTCCTTCGTGAACTTCCTTCAGCTGCTTCCAACACGAACTAACAATTGCACTATGGACACTTCTTCCCAAATAACAATTCTCGAGCTGTGGTGGTTCTTATATCTACATGTGCATCGATCCCCGCTTTGCCGTGTACAAACTGAGAAGACCGATACTGAGAGGTGCAGCAGGGGTAGGATCGTGCCCAATGGCATGCTGTGTAGTGTCATGTACCCGATCTGCCTTCCGTTCTGATAAAAGTCAAAGTGCGTTCAGCATAGTTGGCCGGCCGGCAGGTGACCAGAGCCACAACCAGGAAGCAGGCTTGTGCTAAGCCACCGCGAGGCCCACCGAGGTCGTCTAAGCAGCGCCTAGCGACGACATTTCGATAGCGAGTCTCACGACCATCGGCCGACCGGGGTTTAGAAACCTCGTTAGCTGCGTCCATTACCCTCGCACCTCAGATTAGACGGGTACACAGTTGGCCCTGGGTAGCAGGTGCCGCCTCAGTGCACTGCTTGAACGCATACCTCGCCGACGTTATCAGCTGAGTGCTCACCGTCATTATCAGCTGACTGCAGCCAGCTGCCTGTTGTCAGCAATGGTCACCATGGGTCTGGATAACGATATGCAGGTGACTCGGCGAGCAAGAGGACAAGATGCAAATGGTCGGAGGTGAAGTCTATGTGCATGTGCATGCATGTGTGAACGCGTGCGCGTACGTATGTTGGTATGTTGGTGCGTGTGTGCGCATGATGCGTGCACTTACATTGTACACATAATAGATGTGTGGTTGTATGCGTGTGTTGTACTAGCACAAGTAAGTTGCTATGTCTAACTCAGCTTGTTCGCCATCATCGCTTCAGCGATGGACAGGACCATTAGTGTGCGTTTGAGTGTGATGCGTGATTGTGTGTGTGTGTATGTGTGTCCCTGAGTCTGAGTGTGTGTTAGCGTGTTTAGTTCCCTCGTGTGTCCGTCCGTGTGCGTCGCGCACTTGGGGATGGAATGCGCGTGTGTGTACATGTGCGCGAGTACGTGTTTGCGTGCCTTGTGACTGGATGTGTGCGTGCGTGAGTGCAGTATGTGCGTGTGTGTGTGTGTGTGTGTGTGCGTGCGCGACGTGTATGTGCGCACGCTCGAGATAATGTTGTGTTTAGAGTATTTGGTATGCGACTGCGCTGGAATCTAACCCCGAGTGACGACCAGAGTACACCACGTCAGAAGAAGAAATGCAAACGATCAGGAACTGCCTAGACTTAGCGGCTGGTGTCTGATGTCAACTGCCCAGCGTTGAGAAGACTTTCTCACGGCCCATGACCCAGTAATATCCTGCCAGACGCAAGTGCACTGTAGAACGATGTGCTACGCCGGGGCATGGACTGCGTGCATGTAGCATGCCGATTTGATCACAGCGGTCGATGGCTGCTTTGCCGCGGCGGTCTGACCGTCAGAAGTGCGCGCCCCGTTCCCGACCATCCTACTGTTATGGACTGCGAACCCCGGTTGTGGTGCATACTGCACATCCCGCATCCGCTGCTTTCGTTCGGTCCAGGGCACGAATAGAATCGACGCTACATCATAGTACGTGTACAGTCAGTACTTGCCCATTCATACAAAATGTACATGTACGATGTACGTTGTAGGTCACAACTGCCGATGACCGTGCTCGCGCAAGGCAGACTCTTGTTTGCATAGTTGTACCCCGCCCGGGCGGGCGTCATGGGACGGCATTTTCTCCTTTGCCCTTCCGGGGCCAATGTGACCGTTATGGCGGTGGCTCGACAGGCCTGGACGTATGTGTATGTTTACCGTTACGTCATTTACATGTATATGTTCGTGTGAACGTCCGTGTGCATTATACAACAAGAGCGTGTTTGGAGTCTAGACGGCAGAAAGGGAAATGGTGGAACATTATCCTTCGAGAGCAGCCGGGCAGAGAACGGAAAAGAGTGAATGAAGATGAGGCTTAGATGGATAGAGGAGCACCACACTGAACGTCGATCTATCAATAATGATACTTCAGTATGCGTGATTTAAGAATCACTGTCAGCCTCAAAAAGAAAAGAAAAATAGACCGGTTGTCCGCACACTGAGCTCGCTGAAGAAATGTTAGCATCGAGTGGTGCTGGTGAATGTGATCAGCCAGTGGGTTCTGTGTGACGATCCCAGAGTAGGGGAATGCGTGGCTGGCAGTTTCAGGTGAAGGAACGAAAAGCTCACTATGATCATGATGTTCAAGGAATTGTCCTCGGCGTTATGGTGGTATTCACGTGGAGTGGGTGGCCTACAGCGCATTGAGGAGGAGTGGTGAAGCGATCCGTAATGTACATGGTGTTGTCCAATCATCCTTATGCATTGTAAATTGGAATTCACGCACCCAAATGATCACCGCCATTTCCATGTTGATTAACCCTGCCTAAACACAAAGCAAAGCTGACGTGGTCGTATATGAGAGGAGCTGAACCATTAAAAGTATTACTAGGAACCCTCCGCATTATACTGTCGGTTAATGATTCGCTCACGTGCAATAAAACTAGGAACTATTTGTTTTCTGCCAGTTGGATCCTGTGTATTGCACATCCTGCACACGTAACGAACTACCGAGATCAGATTTGTTATTTTGCCGAATGTCCGATGGCATGACATCAATGATGATCATATTGAAGGATAGTACGGGTACTCAGGTGTGCACTCCTCATGTGTGCATTCTCTTTTGGGAGCAACGAGCTCTCTCCCAAACCTGGGGATTGGTCTCTTCCGTGTAAGGAACATGGTCATGCACGAATCTTAACAATCGCAATTCAGTACAGTGCAAACACGGTACTACAAAAGGAGCAGAGCCAACCGGATGATGGCTTAGTATGCCTTTCAGTTTGACTTGACTGGAAACTGTAGACCGGTTGACAAAGCTTGACCGACAGTGCATTCAAAGGGACAGAGTGGAGCCGAAAAAGACTAAGCATAACATCACCCTGCACATGCTGAACAGGGCAAACAAGAAAGACACTATACACAACATGAGAATAAATTTGCCTTGACTGGTGTTTACGGAAAGAGATCGCTAAAGGTAACAACTGCTTTAGTGATCCGTACATTGACAGGTACATTGCATATGCAGAATTGCACGACGCCAACAACACAGTCGCTCTGCTTATCAAGACATGAGACATTGAGTGATGCGAAAAATAAGTTTGGGGACAGGTTTTGTAAGTGTTCGGCAACTTGGCCGTACGTGCATGATGGTACATATACATGAAGATGAGGGCTACAGTACAGTCACGACACCAGTAGTAGAAGTACAGCAGTGCGGCTCTCACCCGACAGTGTGCTGATCTAACTTGTCCAAGATCACAGTCGTTATCACCCATCGACGTTCGCTATACATGTATCTTGGGCCCGATGCCCACTTTCTTTCCAACTCGAAAGTTAGCAGATAATTGTGCTCTGACGAAACGTTCGAATCCTTTTCGTCGAGCCACAGTTTACCCCGCGATTCGTTGAGGCAATCAGTGACCAGACAGCATTTCTCTGAGAGGAGATTGAAAGCGCGGTATGATGATCGGACCGAGTCGTGAAAATTGGAGATATCATCCAAGACTTTTCGTTGGTTTACAATGATGAACTTCCCCTGGAATAAGCCTTGGATATCCAAAAAATTCAGTTGGTCCGTTAGCCGACTCCATTTGAGATAACATTTTGCGTCAAACGTGCTTTTACTATGAAGGAAAAGAAGCTTCCAGAACCAGTATACAAGAACTGAAACATCCAAGTTTGGCTGCGCGCCAGGCCACACGGAAAAACCTGGGCGGGCCAGATGTTGTATCCTCCGCGCCGCCGCGCTGCCTGCTTCTGTGAAATCATGGTCAATCGCCGCCGGTTCAGCTCCGCGGCTTGCATAATCGTGGTCATGGTCCACCGCCGCCTTTTCAGCTTTACGTCCAAAAGGATGTCTGCAGCCTCTAAGAATGGGTTGAGCCGCATCTTTGAGTAGTTGAGCTTCAATGCTTTGTGAACATTTGAATGCATCATTACATACTAATCGGTGTTCCCATGCGGGTGCTTCGTCTTTGCGCAGTCTCGGCTGGGGAAGCGTGAATCTGGCAGTACGTCTCCGAGATGGACTATCCTCTTGCTGTGCTGCGTCACCAGCTGTGTGCGTGCGCACTAGTGTTCGAGATGACCGTGCTGGAGGTGAACTGTCCTCATGGCCAACGATCACCCAAGTTTCCTTCGTCTTGTCTACAGCGCCGCGCCGGTAGCCTTTATCATTTGAAGCCATAATCGGTTTGGACTAGCTGGTGTCCCTCACGAAGACAACGCACACAACGTTGAAGAGGAGAGTAACTAATTGTTGCTCGAGCGCCTGCGACGACTGAAAGTAAAGTCCAGGACAATTGGCGTTTCCTGCGCAGAATACAACAACACAAACACTATCGATATGCATTCCCAAAAAGGTTTTCCTTTTTATATTGCGGATTGGAGAACCAGGCACCATCATAGGTTTAATCCTTTGGTAGCGCGCGAACTAGCACATGAGAGTTGCCAGTATGTTCCACACGTCACCAGGAGAATTCGATAAGAATCAGCACACCTTCCCTCCTTCCATCCAGCAGTCAAGTACGTTGTTCCACTGCCTCAAGGGCTTCTAAGGCGTAGAGAACCTGCACTCCATTCTTTCAAAACTGGCACCTGAGCCTGTGGGTGCCTTGCACGCATCGTCGTGATGCATGTAGTGAAACTTGTACATCTTTTAAGATGTTACAAAGTAGAATATACGTGTGGCATGAACATTATCTCATTGAAGTGTATTATCGGAAAGGGGTTAGAGTCTGCACATAATGGTACACACGAGGGAGGTTGAGAATATGAGTCGTCAGGTGCGATGTCTACACGTCATAATAGAGAGGTTCCGAGGCACGATTTTCCGTGCCAAAATCCGTATGGGCGCTACGGATTTTTTCGAGACGTGCTTCATTCGATTTTTAGGCACGGAGAATCCCTGTTTCGTATTAAGATTTTGCGTCATCGAGTGCAGAACAATTTTTCGCGTACAAATGTTTACGAGAAACATCGATTTTCAACAGGAAGTTTTCGATTTC